GTTAAATCATCCATTGATCGTGTAACGATTGGAAGGTAAATGACTCGTGCTGGCGTTTCCGATGGGTGCGACACGTTGGGTGCGAATTCGTGTATCATGTGAACCAGTTTCCCGTTATCGTACGAACCGGTGGTTACGTTGCATTCTATTCAAATAATATTCGTGTTAATGATACTCACGGAAGTGTCCGATACATGCCACGAGTTCGGTGATCGAGAGCGATTCCTAGAGAATACTAGGATAGGATCCACGATGTCAAGTTTCGTAAAATCTATCTTATATGCACTTTTAATTTCGCTTTTCATAGTGTTGTTGTTCGCTCGTAGGATCAGTGGATATTCTACATCGTTGTTATCTTTGGTTGGAGAAGGATACCGCGCGCTTATCTCACGCCTCAAGTAAGCGTTGATCGCCTCCAGTTCGTACGAACCGTCCGGGATGATTATCTCCTCACCCTCGTCACCGAAATAGAATTTATTGTTTCCGATATTTAAACTGATGTTTGATATCGTGTAATAAGTTTGTAAATCGAGCAGGCCCAGTTCGAAATCAGCATTGTTGAAATCTATAGGCGGGAAGTACTTGGACGATAACACGATCTATATCAGAGTTCCTAGCAGAAATTTCACACACAATTGCCCGCACACGCTTTCGTCGTAACTTTGATAAATCATTTTTACCAGTCTGTAACGGTATACAGAGCTGTTTTTACCAGTCTGTAACGGTATACAGAGCTGTTTTTATCAGCGTGTAACGGTATACAGAGCTATTTTTACGGTATACAATCTGTAAATAGTATATGCAGCTGTTACGCCAAGGTTTGTTTTATTTTTCTGTTGATTACGAAAAAAAGAAAAAATGTGCGTACGTCAGCTTACATGGAGATGCGCTCTATCATTGGAATACGGGGAGACTGATATCTACGATGCTCGAGCTCTCGTATAAATACTTTGTCGTTCGAGAAGGAATTTTATCACTAGAAAACAGAGCGAGAGGGCATGCGTTTCGTACGACAGCCCTTGAATATCTGGGTCCCGACCTGCCGCACGTTCGACGACCACGATGAGATAATTCGGAAACACGGATCGTTGCTACCGAGTACTATACGGTGTGTGATAAGCGGCCCGTCAGGATGTGGTAAAACGAACGTTATGATTAGTCTGTTGGAGAGTCCGAATGGGCTGCGATTCGCAAACGTGTATGTGTATTCGAAATCGCTGCGTCAAAGAAAGTATCAATACTTGAGCAACTTGCTCTCGTCCGTGAGGGATGTAGGTTATTTTGCCTACTCGGGCAACGCGGACGTGATTCCCCCGGCAGATGCTCAACCGAATTCGATATTTATCTTTGACGACGTTGCTTGCGACGAATAGGATGTCATGAGAGAATATTTCGCGATGGACAGACATTTGCACGTCGATTGTTTCTATCTGTCGCAATCGTACGCGAGAATACCCAAACATTTGATTCGCGACAATGCGAATCTAGTGATTCTATTCAATCAAGATGTCACGAATCTACGACACGTTCATCAGGATCATGTGAATACAGATATGTCGTTCGAAACGTTCAACGCACTTTGTAGGAGGTGTTGGCGAAACAAGTATGGATTCCTTGTAATCGACAAAGACAGCCCTGCGAATCGTGGTCGTTACAGGCGCGGATTTAACGAATTCGTCGTGCTGTGATCGGGGCTCATTTGGACCGCAAGAGTCGTCAGAGTCGCATTGTACCGCTCGATATGCGTCGGTCTAAGGAAAACCGGTGAGCCGTGATCACCAAAGAAATAGCCAAGTCCAGTGACATCATACGTAAAAAGAGTTTAGCCCTGAAGGTTGGGAAAATGGATACGGAGTCGAACATTGAGACGAATTTACGTCCGATCGTGGAGCCGTTGCAACAGCTGATTCAAAATACAGCTACGGAAGCGAATAATAATACGCCGATCGTGGATCGGTCGTCGGATCCACAAACGCAGTCGCTGTTCTCTACGAAGAAGGTGGAGAGAAAATGGAACAAAAAGAAGAAGAAGAGGAAGCATGACGAAGCAGCTTTAACGCCAAGGATGCATTTGAAGAAGAAAAAGAAAATATATTCCTCTGTTCCTACCAACGATGACATCGACTATGTGTTGTACGACAACGATGACGATGACGATGGCAACAACGGTGGCAACAGTGACGATAACGAGGCAGGTGGCAATAAGGCGCTCGAACCGATACCTACGATACTTTCGGCGCAACAGGAGAAAGCTTTCGAATCGTCTCCAATGGCAACAGCATCGTTGGAATCATCGGTGCGAAACATTTTGAAAAGTCCTGAAACGCATCGCGACGAATACGAACTTTTGTTCNACATTTTGAAAAGTCCTGAAACGCATCGCGACGAATACGAACATTTGTTCAACAATCTTGGACCTTTAGCGAGCAAATACTTGCACAATTTCTTTAGCGGACCACCGAAAAATTTGGACAACGTATACAGAGTGTATTTTCACAATAACAAACTGATGCTTGGAAACACCACGTTTGATGTTGAAAGCAACGGCGATATCGTTATCAATAAAATTAGGTACAAGGGAACTTCAGGTCTCTACGAATTGATAATCAAAAGAATACCCGACGAGAACCTGTACACCGAGACCGATAAGAATATTTACAGAAACATTCTCATCGCTACGCGCGCCAATCAACGAGGTAACCAGATAATGGGGAATAAAAGTTACAAGTACAAAAATATCATAGGACCGATGTTTTCGACGTTGCGCGGAAAGGGTATACAAATTCCAACGATGATGCGTGTAACCAACAATCTGATCGATTACGTGCATTGGGACGATCCCAACGAGCTGGTGGATCGTTTGAAATTGTTGATGGCATCGAAAAATACCGGGCACACTGGTCACGACAACGAAATAATATCCAGAATCGAAGAACTTCGCGAAGCCGGATTGATTATAAATTAAATAGTTCGATACTCGTTACTGCAGTAATGAATGAAATGCCTGTTGATAAATTTAACAGATGGTTCGATAGAACGAGCATTCGCTGGAATTGCTGCGAAACCAATCAAACGATATCCGTGGACAAAAATTGGAACGATACATTTACAAATATTGAGTTGAGACTCGACCACGTTTGTCAACAAATACATCAGATTAAACAACAACAACATGAGCTGCTCGAAATATCGTCGAAAGAGCAGAAGATAATGATTGAACCGAAAAACGAGAACAATTTTGCGGCAGCAGCAGCAACTGAAGAAACCTCGGTAGCATAAAGTTAAACGAAACTTAAAACGTTCGTTTTGAAGCGATCAACCCGATAAAGCAAGGGAGAGAGAGAGAGAAAGAGAGAGAGAGAGAGAGAGAGAGGTGTCAGTGGTAATCATGAGCGACGAGAAAGTAAAGTTGGTGAACGAACTGCATGCTCCGGCGAGGCATTTCTTCCCGCGCAGGCGAGTGATCGTGCGAGGACTCGACGATCTCTAGCAAGCCGACATCGTCGAGGTTCAACGATATGCTAGAGATAATAGAGGACATCGATACATTCTCACGACAATCGATACATTTAGCAAATATGCCTGGGCAGTCCCTCTGAGAAGTAAAAATGCCAACGATGTGTGCAAAGCTTTCACGTCGGTGATGAGAAAGTACGACAGAATACCGAACAATTTGCAGACCGATATGGGGAGAGAGTTTTACAATAAAGATTTTCAAGAATATTTGAGAAAACACAACGTCAAACACTATTCCACGTACAGCGCCATCGCGGCGGTAAACGGGTGTCGCTTAACCCCTTAACGCGCAGAAACGTATTAACACGGGCGTGCAAAACCGGCCAAAATGTGCAGACCCGTATATATACGGTCGGCGTCGCAACTTATGTCGCTAAAATGTTCAGATTCGAATATATCCGGGCAGTAAAAATAACTTAATAAAAACCAAGGAAAACATTCAATTTATTGATATTCATCGTGTAATTCTGTATTGTAAGCTGTAAAGTTTGTTTATTTGGGATTATAAAATATGGCCTTTTAGGGTGAC